CCTGAAGACCTACAACGTATGTCAAAACGTTTGATAATTCAATAATAAATACTATTATGTAATATAGTAATTTATATATTCACCGCACCCCTGACTAACTTCTTCTGAAACTAAAACTAAATATTATGAATGTGTGACAAGTATTTCTTTTCTTTTTTAATGTTTTCAATCTACTTTTAATTTTTATTATTCTTTTGATGTATTCTTCTTAAAATCATAATCTATTTATTTCTCTTTTTAATGCATATATTTTTTTCAATTTCTATTTTAGATGGTAAATAAATAGTATGTATGTACAAATTGAGCTAAAGTACCAATACCCTTGATTGTGGCAGATAATATAATTATTCTTCCAATAAAAATTGTTTAATCTCCAAAAAAAAAAAAAAAATTAAATATTTATTTTATTATAATAATGATAAGTGTTCCAAAAGAATTCTTTTGAAATCCATCCAAAATACTAATAATTTGACTTCACGCATATAGTTTATTATAGTCACAATTAAATATTTTTGTAATGAATTAATGAAACATTTATATTTTAAAATTTGAAGTTCGTATCGATAAGTATTTTCAGTCAAGGGTGTGCGCTTCGTGTTAAGAGACTCGAAATAAGGCGAATTCCTAGATAGCGGATCTGTTAGATCTGAGTGAGCTAACATAATTAATAGATGCTGAAGTTAAAACATGAAGAGAAAAACCAGCAGGTTGGATGCAATAACAATAACAATGATAGCTTTAAACAACTTTGAATTTTCGAGGACAGAGAGTCTTACTCTGACTACAACCAAATCCTCCCTTCTACGTTCCGGCTAGGACGTCAACTTGCCCATTCAGTACTAATTATCTCTTCAATGATTCATTAGTAATTCATCAAAACAATTTTACAAGACCATTTATATGATTTTTAATGCAATATTATTTACCGATTATAACGTATGCAATTCAACGTCGTGTAGCTTTTGAGATGATCTGTTATTCAGAAGCCTATATGATATCACACTCCAAGTAACAAGATACCTTTCCCTTATGAACTATATATATATATATATATATATAAAAGACTTAATGCTCATAATGGTTGGGGATAGAAAGAACTCTATAAGAAAGCGATGCGAGAGGTTAGCGACCTTGCTATTACCGCAGTCCGAATTGGAGTTCCCACACAACATCTAGCCTTTCTCGCTTCTTACATCAGCCTTCTTTCTCTTCTCCCTTCTGTTTATTTTTAGTCTCTTCTTTCCGTCATTAGGCATGGAGAGTTATTGTTTACCACCAAAACCGCACAGAATGCTAACCTACTTAATAGCCGAGTCATTACTGCAATGGAGACATAAAAAAACCCAAGACACAAAGCACCAGCTTTATTAAGCATTATTTTTCTTAGGGCTAAAGTTATAAACGAACAGTGCCATAGTGTAAAAAGAATTAAATTATATACTCGTACATTGAATGCTACAATTACTTCATGAGAACATGAGAATAAGTTCAAACCAGTCATTCATTATTCAATACTAACATACATAATATTGCTAAAAAATAGGAAAAATAAAGATTAAACAGAAAAGAGGATTGCTCCGACGGACTTTAAAATTTCATTTATTTTTTATGATACTTACAACTGTATTAGTATAAATACATCAAGTAAATGAGCATAGAGGAATATAATAACATGGAAATGCTTGTTGAGAAACTATCTATTTGTAGTACTCTAATCCTGAAAAATTAATCTGAGATACAGTACAACCAAATCTAACAGCAGATACAATGAAACTGAGGATATGGGAAAAAATAAAATAAATTAACAAAAAAATTAAAAATAAACGTGAAATCTCAATCTTTGAAAGGGGGGAGAATAACTTTTTTTTCTTGGTCGATTACAAAGGTTCATTATTGAAAATCATAAACCAAAAATAATAAAAAACCGCGACATCCATACTATTATATTTTTTTTATTTTTAAGAAAATTAAAATACCTTTAAAAACCTTATAAGAAGTTAGCTAGTTTTATATATGGGCGTGGAATAAGAACATAAATAGAACTAGTAGATAGATTAATTTATTGGTAAAATAGTAAAATAAATTGAGGTTCTTTCATAGAAATGTAATGCCTTAACAAGATAATGGGAAGACATCCTAAGCGGGACTCGCAACAAAACGGACCCCTGCTCATGAATGAAATGCCATTCCATTGACATGCAAATGGGCGATATAACCGGTGTAAACAATATTCCGCAACAAAGAAATTCTAAAAGCAGCCACTAGAAAATGTTATTAAATATCGTTTGTGTATAAAATCTTGATAAAAATTCTGAAGTTGAATAAAAAACAGTAATGCAAAAACCAAAAAAATTACCATAATGTTAATTAACTTAAATATATCGAAATTGACTGTATTTTTTTTAACAAGGTTTATTTTTTCTTTTCGTTAAAGCATTAAATAACGAATCTTGAGGAAATTTAAAAAATAAATTTTTATCACAATTCGTGAAATTTACGACTGTATCAACAAATAAAATACAAATAAATGCGAACAGAACACGAGTAATGGCCATGAACAGAAAAGAAAAAGATAAATTTTTAGACAAATAATCAAGAAAAATAATTAGGAATATTACTTTAAAAGTGAATATAGTTAATTATGTAGAGTAATAGAAACAATATTAAATTAAATTCTAAATATGCCTATTGGCTCAATAACATTAAATTAAATCTATCAATACATTATATATGTAGGTTTTTTTTGTCTTTATTCATATTTTTTATGCATAAAATAGATTTTGGAAGTAAACTATATCATCATTATCTTGGTAGTGAACAGCTGTTAACTTTTCATAGCCGGAACTTTTCATAGGATCCTGATTAAATTTAAATGAGGTCACACAGGTATACAGGAGGTACAGGTATATATATATATATATATATATATATATATATATATATATATATATAGAGAGAGAGAGAGAGAGAGAGAGAGAGAGAGAGAGGGAGAAGTATAGTGGTAGGAAAATCCTAAAAAAAAAAACAATAATCTCAGAAAACAATTTAAGAATAACGAAGTAACAATTTGAACATACAAGAAAATTAAGTCGAAATGGGAAGCTAGTTTTTTAGAGTGGTATAATTAAGTAATAAAAATAAATACTACTTTCTACAATAGACACACTTAATTGAAGAAGCAATTAGTTTTAAAACCGGTCCAATGAATGCATTTGTTTTAACATTATGGAGAGATAATACAAACATGTAACTTCTAAAACAAGCTACCTCATTTTTATTTACACCATTTATAAAATGAATGAATACGCATTTGGTCAACACTGCTTTGCTAGATAAAATGAGCGTTAAGAAATTTCGAAAAATAAATTAAAACAATTGAAGCCGGTTTTAATATTAATTGCTTCAAATACCGTTTTTATATCTGTGGCGCCTGTGCATAGTGAGTTAAGTGCGAAAATTATATTAATGAAAAATCAATTTTCTAGTTTCAACGCATGACTCAAAAAGGAAGGTTCGTCTGTTTAATAGCCGCGTAAAATAATCCATTAGACACAAAAAAAAGAGAAAAATTAGCTTTCTGGTGATAACCATAATAATTCACTAAATTGCACTTAATATATTTTTCACAGGTGCCATAGATATCATCATAAAAATATATCAAACAAAAAATAAAATTTCATCAAAATTATATCATGAGTCGTAGAGATACAATAAAGATAAAGTTGGTTTTAATTCTATATTGAGTAAATTTGAATCTATTCTACTGAATTTAAATATCGAAATAAATTTAGAAACCAAAAAGCATACATTTTAACGAATGATATTAAATGTTTCGGAAAAAGAATTACCAGTAGTTAAGAATAATAAATATTATCGAAAGTAATTATAGATCTTTTTTTTAAGTGAAAACTTCTTGAGGCGCGTTTTGCAATTTTTTTTTTGGTAGAGTGAATTAGATTGAGTCGTCAGATTTCCGATGTGTAACGCTCGGGCAAAGTAGGCTGGAGTCGATTAATTGAAGTGTTTTTGCATATGAATTAAAACATTTTAGAAACTAAAAATCGGACCTGCATACTGTAAGCGAGGGAACTGTTCAGCATTTCGTCTTCTTTCTAATGAACTATTATTTATTATTTATATTTTTAATTATTAATCACGCTTTATTGATGTTTTCACTTCTATCGTGTGATCTAAAGCACACAGCTTAGTTTTTTTTTTGTTTTTTTTTAATCACCATAATACTAGTATGTTCAACCTCTTTTTTGCTTCTCTACGACTCATATATTGATTATTAAATACAAGTTATAATAAGGATAATAGAAAAAAAACGTAAATTTTACAACAATTAGTCTTACTACAATACTACCAGGTTCATGCAAATACCTGATCAAAACATATATATAAATTTACATTTATAAACAGTACATACATTTTAGTAATACGAAAAATAACCCTACTTAAACAAGTAAATTAAATGAACAAATACATTTTTATTGATAATTAATTAATTTAAATATAATAGTATATCTAATTTATAATATAGTGAAACGAAGCACCGCAGTGCGGAGGTGTGGAAACTGTACTCCAACGCGATTATCGAAAACTGAATCGATTGGAGTTCAGACCGCCAGGTTATCATTTGGAGGAAGGGAATAAATGTCTATCTCTTATCACTTCAGTCAGAACAGATTAGTAAAATTAAAAGAAAAGCATTCCTTAGAGACGACTGAGTTATTTTTAGTTAATAAAGAAAACAACAAGCAAACAAAAACAGTAAACAACCCACATATTCGAAAGTAAAACGAACAATACTAATATTCAAGGATCGATTGAGCATTTGAAGAATAAAGTCTTTTATAACAATTCAAGGGAGAAAAATTAACCGATTTCTGAATCAATTAAAAAATGTTGACTAAACATTGATCCAAAAAACATCAAATACATAATTTTACAACACCAACAAAAACTACAACATCGATAGAATAACGAAATGATCCTACCTTTGACGAGATTTCGGTTTTGTATTTTGAATGCATACGTGACACACTCACCTGAAACAAAGACAAATTAAATTAAATACATGTATAAATTTAATTAAAAAAAAAAAAAAAAAAACCTAAAGGGTGTGGCTTTAGACCACACGATAGAATTGAAAACATCAACAAGGCGAGATTAATAATATGTAATATAAATTACAAATAATAATTCATTATAAAGAGGATGAAATGCTGAACATTCCTCTCAACGCTGAACATTCCTCTCAATGGTGAACATTCCCTCGCTAACAGTATGTAAGAACGATTTTTAATTTCTGAGATATTTTAATCCATATGCAAAAATACTTCAATTAGTAAAATTAGACCAGGAAATATAGGCAAAAAAAAAAAAAAGCCGATACTAAGTAAATTCAAATTGGCTGTAAATGTGGGGATTAGTTCGTTCTTTGTCGAATGCAAAACAAACCATGAGAAGTCCCCTCAAACCTCATGTCAGCTTCCATCCAAAATGGAGGGTCAAAGATGGCTACATAGCACTTTCTGTGTTATTTAATGTTTTTCATTAGATATCCGTCAAAAATTATCGTTCTTGAATTTCATAAGTACTGATATAACTGTCAAGGGTGCTTGTTTTGGATTCCATTTGAGATTTCCTTGATTCAAATTCTGTCACCACTCAGAACTTAGAAATTACTGACAAATAAGAAATAATGTTTCTTATATTTATTGTAGCTCCAAGTAAGAGGAATCTTCGAAAAATTATTTTTTTAATATTTGATGAAAAATGGTGAAGATATATTATTTTTAATAAAAAATGCGAGATAAACAAAGCTGGATTCCATCGTGAACTATTCGGACTGGGTAGCTAGTTATAGACTATGAGCTACGGACCGTTTCATTTAACTGAAGGAGTTACAGTTAGTAACCATTTTTAATTGTAGATAAATCTCATCTGAACTCGCAACTTCGGTCAGTCGGTGGAAAAAAAGCCTTTCTATACGAAAATTTAAATAAAATGGTGAAATTTGACGTTTCTTTTATGAAAAAACTGACAGCTGAAATTTTTATATGATGTGAAAAATATATAATTATTCACCTAGACTTTCCTTAGTTTTTGAGATATTTTAATCTATATGCAAAATTACTTCAATTAGCCGACTCTCGCCGATTTTACCCGAGCGTTACACATCGGAGATCTGACGGCTCAATCTAATTCACTCTCCACAAAAAAAGTGCAAAACGTGCCTAATGAAGTTTTCACTTCCAATAATTAATTAATTTTTTTCTGCGATACACATAAAAACCACAAATAATAATATTCAGTAATAAACATACATCAAAGACAAAAGTATCAATTATCTAAACAATGATGGATAATGGAAGCCATAATAAAGCCAACAAGGTCACAGCTTATTAGACTAAGCAATACTAGTTTCAGATTTTAAAAATAGATAAAATTATTTCTTTCAAGGTGAACTGGCCAACACAGGATTCCACGCTTCACACTGCATTTATCTACTATTCGAAGAAAGAACTTTTAACTATAGAAATGATAAAAATTAATCAATTTCTAGAAAATAGAAATATTCCTCAGATATGGAATTGTAATTATCCTTAAGGATTATTGTGTAAAAAAAGTAAATTAAAGTTTTATAGAAAAAAATATTTCGAATTTGATATAGAAAGGCCTAGAAATCTATTTAATCATACAGAAAACTAATTATGAAGGATCTATAGCTACTAATTTAGCATTTTAGATTTTTTTAAAAATTTATTTAAGAATAATAAAGTAATCTGCCACAATAAAGGACCCCTTTAAATATAAATTCATACCATTTATACAAGCTAAAAATATTCTTAAAAAAAAAAAAAAAAGTGAATAGAAAAATACTTCAATAATAAAAAGAAAAATATGAAGAATACATACATACATAAAAAAATTAACAGCAAAATCGTTCCATTTAGTTGCAGTTTAAAGCTATAAGATCTTTTCTACGGTTCTTTGCTTTTTCAACCGCTAACAGGAAATAACAAATGATAAATAACTTATAGTTAATTAGCACCCATCTCTAATTTAAACCACTAGCTCTGATAATTTCTTCCACACGAATCTATTTTAATGAGGAGGGACTGTCTTTTCCTCATAGTAATTTACTCCTGATTAAGACCAAAAACGTGGAGCGATACCTCGGCATAATTTCATGAAGATAACATTCGTCTTGAAGAATAGAAAATATAAATGAATATCGTAAACGTTAAAAAAAATTGATGTAAGATATATATGAAGTTTTTATTTATTTATTAATCAGTTACTAACATGAAATAAATATTGAGAGGAGGAATTCGTTCTTCCCCCCTCAGTCTATTACAATATCCAATAGTGAAAATAATAAACCATCAAAAAATTATAAGGGGCTAAAAAAAAAACCTTCCTAATTATAGTCCCTTTTTTTTTTTAGTCTTGTTAAATATTAAAAATCAATAAGAAAGTGTTTTCAAAGAAAATACATAATTAAACTTCTATATTTCTAGCATCGGAATTTTCTAATAAGAGTTAGAAATCATCAATTCCTTCACATAATATTTGATGTTGGCATCCAATGCTTAAATAAAAAGTTTAGACAATTTAGGAAGACATGGATGACAATTTCAATATTAATCAATTTTGTCAACAAATAGCTTAACAAAAATCTACATAAAAAAATATATGGTATAAATATGAACAATAAATCTTCCTCACAATTTCTAATTAGTACATAATTACAAAATAAATGATGTGTTTGAAATTTAAGAAAGTAATAAAATGCCGATTTCTAAAATGTATGTTTATCAATGAAAATTCATGAAACAATAATTAATAAAGACTAGAAGAAGTAGAAGAAATTTGTTATAATATTCCAACATTGTATCAAATTTCTTTTCTAATAGAATTCCTTAATCATGGATTAATGAATTTTCATTGATAAGCATATATTCTAAAAACAAATGCTCCGGCATTTGTATATTAATCCCTAACCTTCCTCTATGTTTAAACAAAATCAGACAAACTCTTTTGGTAATTTAAATTTAATTTGAAAAATAACTTTTTCTACGCATAGCCGAAAATAGTGGCTATGATTTGATAAAATAGATACAGGAACCTCTAGAAACAAACTTGCACAATTCAAAACAAATTCATCAAAATCGAACGTTGGTAAGTTATACTTCAGTGGTTGTACTTCACAACAGATACGAAAACAAATAGGTTCCTTAGTGTCGAGAATGCAAAACGCGAATGGAAGGAAATTTTCATTCTGAAGGAAAAAATATGTTACTTACATGTAAATTTACTTGTACGTTTTTTATGTTTCACTAATCTTCAGTGATGAAGAAGCAAAATAGCTTCAGCTATTCCCCTCAGACAAAGCAACAATAGGTAAGTAATTACTGGTTTCTGTTAGTAATTATATATACACACATACACACACACACTTTCTTTTCCGGTTGGCTCTCAAGACCTTGTAGATGATCTTTGGCCGCCTGAACCAGCCTTCTCCACCTCTGCCTATCTTTGTTGTTTATCCTATCGATCCATGTCGTTTCTGGCATTCCACATGGTCTCTTGCCTACTATATATATATAGTAGTGTATATATATACACACACAAACAGTTTTGTCGGTTTCAATATTGATTAAGGAACATAATTTCGAAAAATCAGATCAAGTGGTATGATTATAAAATATTAATCTTAACCCATTCATTTTTTCGGAATCGACAACCGTCAAATCAAGGACTAGGGCGTCCGAGCAGGAAGAAGAATAAAAAGAACCTGAAGGGCCTATCATTTTAGGAAATAGCAGGTTACTATCGATTTTCGAAGGGGAGATATCGATCTTGAAGGTAATGATGATGAACCAATTATTTCGAAAGGGAGGGGAGAGGAGCTTTTGAACGGAGGACCAATGTGATGTAGAGAAAATTGCAGGCAATCATTGGCTTAACCAAAATGTCTCCTCTTTTATACCGGAATCAAAGAAATTTTTCCGACTTCTTGCTTCAATTTGTTGCGTTCTTATTAGAAATTTGAAGAATTTTTAACGATTTAGGTTAGCAGTGCTACTGAAATTTAAAAGGAAAAGGAATAGGAATCCATGTGTATCCTAACTGACTGAACAAAGTACACGATCATAGCAAGATAAAAAACAAATTACTTGAATTAATTACATAAAATTTAAAAAATCTAATAAATCAAATAGCAAATGCTAAAACAATGTGCAACAATTAAAAAACTGGTTTATAATATGGTTTATTATTTCCAAACAATTATACAACTAAAGTAACATTACCTTCCTAGTTACAAAGAAAAGTAAACAAAAGGTGATTCCAATTATTGGACTAAACTTTTTTTTTTAATCATTATTAATATGCTAAAAAAAAAAATAACATTACTTCAGTAACACATTCAAAATTTAAAAATCAAACCAAGGATATAACATTTGGAGTAGAACATATTTAAAAAAAACCAGAGACCATATCTTTGCTCCTAATTGTCCAATTTTAACGATTTTTTTTTTTTAGGAAATTATGTAAACTTTTTAAAAACCATATACAATATTAACAAAAAAATATAAACTTTATGAGTTATTCGGAATTTAATTTTACCATCCCTTGTAACTTTTTTACCAGCTTCTTTTCGTTGAAGTATGTTATATAGATAAATTTAAAGGGCGTCGAGAAAATGACTTTAGTGAAGTTTCATTGAAATCGGTACATTCGTTTAGGAGCTACAGTCTATAGCAACGCAGGTTTTTCGGCCGCCATTTTGAAAGTAAAAGGCGGATAGTAATGTCGATGAAGAGGGAACATCCTTGGGTGACCTCTGATTTTATATCAAAATTTGAAAAAAAAATTCGGTCCAGTAGTTTCGGAGAAAATGCGCGGACGGCGGACGGACAAAAACATTTTTATTCGTTTTTCGAATTCTACGCATCCTGAAACGTGAAACCTCAAATTTTGAGAGGGGGTTAAGTTTTTGAATTTTTGGGTCGATCACAATAGTTGATTATTGAAAATA